GCTGACTAAAAGGATTTCTTTCTTTACATACCAATTTTCCAGTCCCAGTGAATGCTGGCGATATCCTTATATTCCACAATCAATCTAAGATTAAAACAAGAGGTCACAGAGAGGTCCACATACTAATTTTCACTATTTTATAAGCATTTTAGTCACTATACTTCAGCTAAAGTGCAGAATTACACGGACTTTTGAATTTGTCTTAGAATATAAAAATAACTGTCTTCAATAAAAATGACAATAAAACCAAAGGAGCTCATAAAGATATGTTTGATTCCCTTATAGGTGCTCTGCAATAACAGTCAAGTATAGGAGAAAAATGTGATATTATGCTTTGTTTTTGAATAAGCTTAGGAAGTTAATGTGTTAATATTTTCTGGAAATAACTGAAAAAGAAAACTCCTTACTGGTAAATGCCTCTACCACATGCTAATCAGGAATCCTAAGCAACACACATGTTTAAGAAAACAGGAAGTAATTCTTGATATTTTAACAATCCTCTAATAGATACTCAGCAAGTTGTTAGGTAATGGCAAAACCACAATTACTCTTGCATCCACCTAATACTAATTTCAAATGTGAATTTGGGCCAAATAAATAATGAATATTAGTAGTTATCATCTATAATATATTTGCTTATTTTGTTTTTAGAAAAAGATTGTAGAATCTTACAGCTGTATACCACTGATAATTGTTCCAAACAGGCCCACCATTCCTAAAAATTCCTGTCTGCTCAGCTTCTTCACGATGTATTCCTCACAAACGTTCGAAATGGCATAGAGGGAAGCCCCAAGAAGGACCAAGATGTCCCCGATCAATACATCACTCCCTGCAGGAAGACAAGCCACAAAAAGCAAAACACTGTCAACAGGTGAGCCTCTACAGTGTGCCTCCAGGCGGTCATCTGACTCGTGTTCATTTAAATGACGCTAAAGAAGAAGAAACTGGTCACTAGAAGTTTATGTGTGAGAGTGTGTGTGTGTGCGCGCGCGCGCATGTGTTTGAGACAGAGTCTTGCTCTGTTGCTCAGGCTGGAGTGCAGAGTGCAGTGGCTCAATCTCGGCTCACTGCAGCCTACACCTCCGGGTTCAAGTGATTCTCCTGCCTCAGCCTCCCGCATAGCTGGGATTACAGGCACCCTCCATCAGGCCTGGCTAATTTTTGTATTTGTACTGGTCTTGAACTCCTGAACTCCTGAACTCAAGTGATCCGCTCACCTTGGCCTCCCAAAGTACTGGGATTACAGGTGTGAGTGACTGTGTCTGGCCTAATTTTTGTATTTTTGGTAGAGACGGAAGGTTCACCATGTTGGCCAGGCTGGTCTCGAACTCCTGACCTCAGGTGGTCTACCCACTTTGGCCTTCCAAAACGCTGGGATTACAGGTGTGAGCCACCGCACCCAACCTGGTTACTAGAAGTTTAAAGTCTCTTACTCTTCTCACTTTCTGGTTCAATTCTGCTGTGATTTTTCATAATGTAATTCCTCGGAAGTCTAACAGGCTAGAAATTGATGGTATATATCATAATGTAAGGCCTCAGAAAATGATTCTATGACATGACAAATTAATGGAGTTCACTGAAGAGGTAGGTCAATTTGAAAAATGGAAACCTGCTTTCAAAGTAATTTTCCCTCTCAATCCAAGGAGACACTTAACTCACTTGCAGATTGGGTGAATCATAGACCTTAATTAGATTTTATAGTATCAACTGTAATTTTCTCTCTCAATCCAAGGAGACATTTATTTGAAGCTTGGATGAATTCATAGACCTTAATTACATTTTATACTATCAACTGAATTCAACACAAAGTGAGGCAAAGTGTTCTCACCTACACAGTGACTTAAAAAGAAATACTCCAGTGAACAAGTTTCTTCGCTGATTAAATAAAAAAAGAAAAAAAGAATCGACAGTAGGTTTTCCAGTAACCAATCTTAAACGTATGGACAAAAGATTATTGCAAATATATAAAGAAACTTTGCTCTCAAGAGACAAACAAAACTATTTAATGTAACAAAAAGGAAGAAAGACTGTAGGCTGGTAGGAACATACAGATTGTTTTGTGGAGGTAGTTACAAAATACCAGATACAAGTAAATCTAAAAATATAATTTTAAATGTAGTTAACCAGAATGTATTTTCTGCTTTTTACTATAAAAAGATATAGTTTGCAGAATAAAAGTGAAAACATAAAATTCTGTGACTGAAGCACAAACATGTGACACTATCTTACCTGAATTGTCTTCCCTCCCTGCTAGTATGTCTGCACCAACCATGGTTCCTACACCCAACAGACAGACAGCCACAGCAACGAAGTGGATCACTCTGTATCTTGCATAAAGAATAAACCACGACAGAGCCATCAACACAGGAATCCCAAAGCAATCCAAAAGCTGCATGGAAAGAATCAACAGTTTAAAACATATCTCTCATTAGCTAAAAGATGAGTAATTAAGAAATAATAGGAGTCAGTATTTATAATAGGAGTCAGTATTTATTGAGCATTTATTATTGCCAGCCCTATACTAAGAGCTTTACCTGAATTCACTCATGTAATCCTCACAACAACTCTATGAGACTGAAATTACAATCCAATTTTACACATGAGAAAATGAAGGTACAAAGAGGTGAAATGAGTTGTCATAGTTAAAAATGGGATGACAGCTGGGCACAGTGGCTCAGGCCTGTAATCTTAGCACTTTGGGAGGCTGTGGCGGGCAGATTGCTTGAGCCCAGGAGTTTGAGATCAGCCTGGGCAACATGGTGAAATGCTGTCTGTACAAAATAAAATAAAATAAAATAGTTGGGTGTGGTGGTGCACGCCTGTAGTCCCAGCTACTTGGGAAGCTAAGGTGAGAGGATCACTTAAGCCTGGGAGTTCAAGGCTGCAGTGAGCTGTGATGGCGCCACTGCACTCCAGCCTGTACAATACAGAGAGACCCTGTCTCAAAATAAGTGAATAAATAAAATAATAAAATACAATGGAAGAGTCAGTTGCTGAACACAAGAATTCTGCTGAGGGCCTGTGCTCTTTACCTCTATGCTCCCACCTGTGTATATCTTTTTTATTTTATTTTATTTTATTTTATTTTATTTTATTTTTTTGAGATGGAGTCTCGCTCTGTCACCCAGGCTGGAGTGCAGTGGCACAATCTCGACTCACTGCAACCTCCACCTCCTGGGTTCAAGCAATTCTTCCTGCCTCAGCCTCCTGAGGAGCTGGGATTACAGCCGTCTGCCACCACGCCCAGCTAATTTTTGTATTTTTTAGTAGAGATGGGGTTTCATCATGTTGGCAAGGCTGGTCTCGAACTCCTGACCTCAGGTGGTCTGCCTGCCTCCGCCTCCCAAAGTGCTGGGATTACAGGCGTGAGCCACCATGCCTGGCCCTGTGTGTATCTTTAAGTTCGGTAGACAAACATTCCTTCCTGCAGGCAACCATTTACTCAGCCAACAAGTATTTGCTAAACACCTTGCATGTGTGAGACACTGTGAAAGCAGCTAGAAATAGAGGTGAACAGGACAGAGCAAGCTGTGGCCTCAGGAGCACACAAAGCTAGAAAGGACATGGAATAAATAATCACACCAGATATTTCACTGGAATTGGGCTAAGTGCTACAAAAAAGCACCGGTTACTACGAGAGAACAGACACCATCTCCCTGACAAAGCGTCCAACCCCACCACGTGAGACACACTCGTGCTCACGGCAAATATTCTTGCTCATCCTCCTCACGTGCTTCTCCATCACCTGTTGATAACAGGTCCAGAAAACACTAGCTATACACCTGATATTGCTCATCTGGAAGGCAGAGGGATTAAGCATGCCAAAATTATAGCAGGCCCAAAGTTGTTTGCAAGATAAAAGATAAAAAAGAGAGTGAATTTGCTCAATTCTTAAATTCACAAATTTAATGTGCATTCAAGGATAAAATATATTCAAGAGATTCTTGATGCATTCCAATGTATTTCTTTCAAGGAAGAAATATATTCCTTATACCAATAATATTCCTGAAACTGCTGTTTTATTGCTCACCCTGTTGTTTCAAACCTTGTCCCTGATTCTCTCCGTATCTGGTTAGTCTTGAACAAGACAGGCCCCTAATCTCCAGCAGCCCATTCAATCCTGTCCACAGTTGTTTACTGATTGCCTTTCACTGCAGTAGCATCAGTGAAGTCCAACGCATCATGTGTAGGAATGGCATCTTGCCTTGTTATTTATTCCAGCTGCAGAACTCTAATCTCCTAAGTGCTTTATTGAGCCTGCCTGAATAACAAAACATTAAACGATGCAAATGATAATACCCTGTCCCTGAAGACACCAGCAGAATCCAGCCATATGGCTTAACAAAATCTCAACTACATTCCTTAAACAAAAAAAAGTAGAAAAAGACATTCTAAGAACTACCACAGAAGATTCCCTTATCCTTGTGTCTTAAAATCAAACTTAAATTTGCTCTGTCTTTAACAATTTTTGTTGGGCAATGAGGGAGCTGCCTATGTCATGGTCAGAGCTCCAGAGACCTCAGGCCCCAGCCCCACACTGACCAGCTAGATGTGTGGTCCCCAGCCAGTCACTCTCCAAGTCAAAATATAAAATAAAAAGATCAGATAAAATGATCACATAGGTTCCCTCCGACTCTAACATTCCATGACTTCTCATCTGATATCTATCACCTTCAGACATGTGAACCTTCTTTTCAAAATGCATACTTGGTGGCCGGGTGCGGTGGCTCATGCCTGTAATCCCAGCACTATGGGGGCCAAGGCAGGAGGATCACTTGAGGTCAGGAGTTTGAGACCAGCCTGGCCAACATGGCAAAACCTTTTATCTACTCAAAATACAAAAAAAAAATCAGCTGGGCGTGGTGGCGCATGCCTGTAATCCCAGCTACTCAGGAGGCCGAGGCTGCAGGGAACCAAGATTACCCCACTGCACTCCAGCGGGGCGACAGAATGAGACTCCATCTAAAAAAAAAAAAAAAAAAAAGCCAGGTGTGGTGGCACATGCTTGTAATCCCAGCTGCTCAGGAGGATAAGGCAGGAGAATCACTTGAACCTGGGAGGCGGAGGCTGCAGTGAGCCGAGATCATACCATTATGCTCCAGCCTGGGTGACAGAGCAAGACTCCTCCTCAGAAAAAAAAAAAAGTATTCTTGGGGATGGATGTCTTCTCTGATTGTTTCAGTTCTAAGAGTATCAATTTAATTTTTAAAAATTATTGTCTAGTCACAGTAAGCAGGGTACTAAGACAGACCCTGCCACGTGGTTAGTATAAAAATGAGTCAGACCATATTAGAGGTACGATAGAGTATAGAAGAGAAAATGAAAATTGAATTAGCCTTTGACAATGAGGGGAGCAGGCTTCAAAAAGGACTGCATTCTAGGAAGAACAGAGCAGCACAGGAGAGAAGGAGCAGGCCATGAGTGGGAAATGGGTTGATGTGGCAGTAAAGTGGGAAGGGACATGAGCAGAAACCTAGGCCACATCATGATCTTCACGTGAACTATGCCATGACTGTTGGTAATTACAGAACCTTCTAAGGAATCCTTAAGAAGAAGGTTCAAAGACCACCTAATCTAAATTTCCATCTTTTTGGACTACCCAGGCCAGAGATTTACTCAGGTGGAGAACCAGCTTGAATCAGTCCTGTGACAGTCGTCTCTGCTACTGGAGAAAACATTACCTTGTTAGATGCCTTTTTTATAATATATTCCTCACTAGGACTGTAAGTGCATGACTTGTGGCAACCAAATGCTTAGGTTTTTCTAAGGGGCTAGTGTGAAAGAAATTGTTTTCAATTTCTTTGAAATTGAAAGAAGGCACGAACTTCAGTCGCAAATATCCAACTGTAAGGGTTCTGTTTAACTGTGTTGAGGCTTTGCACCAATTCAAAACTTTTTATCATTATTAGAGATCAAAGTTCCTGGGAATTGTAATCAAGTAATTAAAATGTATATGAGATTACGAGAGTAGGTGTGACAAGAAAATGCCATTTTCTGCATACTTATGTATACTTCATTAACCAATGCTAAAAGTACACTTACTCCTATTAGTGATACTAGGTAACTTCATTCTCATGCTTCATTCTCTAGGTAACTGCTGGGTTTAATTTTTGCGAAACTTTAGGTTCTTTGTGTGCCTCCTATGGTGTCTGTCTTAATAAATCATTTCCTATCTCAGCTTTTTAACCCATACTGGTCAAAGTCCAAGAGGTTTGCTGAGAACAATGCTTAGCAAAATGTTACAGAAAACAAAGTATTTAATATAAGGCACTCTGGCAATAACATTTAATGTAGGTTTACATTGGAAAAATACTGAGTTCTCAAAAATCCTTACATTTTCTATGCGAAATAAGTCTAATTTCAATTTTTCCAGTCCCTAAAATTTAGAGTCAAGTAAGAACATCTCTGTATTTTGTATAGTGAGAGAGGGATATATAAAAAAGTTATAAACTTCAAATCCCACATCTGATACAAACTTTTATTATTTAAGAAAATGAAAAAAAAAAGTTATAAACTTATTAAACTGTGACATCTAAACCTGGCATTTGAGTCTATCTCACTTTCACCTCCATTTATAAAACATTTTGTAGTTAGTAATGGTGAGTTAATGTTACGACATATCCCATAGTTCGCTAACATTAAGACAACTGAAATCAGTTGTCTTCAACTTTACTAAGTTGAAAACCTCTGCAATGTAGGAATGAATATTTTTCTTTCAATGCAGCAAGAATAAACCTAACAAAGAAACAGGGATGGGAGTTTTAACTCTGGCTACCACCTCTCCCAAAAATGTCTAATGGGTTTCTTCCAATGGTTCCTTTGTCATGAATATCTACTATGCTTGCAAAGCTCCAACTTTCCTATAGAACAAAGGTGTATCTACTTTCATATGCCATGTTTCAGCAGCATATAAAACAGAACACACGTCAACACCACAGCATCAACTGCCAACTAAATATTTACGCTTACTGTGGTAGGAACTGCTCTGCCATAGCCTTAGCAGCTTGGGGGCAGCTTAACTTGTATACATTTTCACTAATTCTAGGAAACAGTACTCATCAGAGCATATGCTCCACTAGAAAACAGCACCCACTTGTGTTTAGGTTTTCTTCAACTGAACAGATTTTCAATAAAATGAGGTCAACACGTATGACTTCGTGTTCTCCTTTTGAAACTATAAAATCCAAAGTGGTCAGAGGGCTCCCTCTTACCTGGACACTGGTTAGAGTTGTGTACTGGTAGGCTCTGACAATCATATAATTAGCTTCCACATCTGCTAGTCCCAGCAGGATGTACTTCCACCATTTTCTTTTCAAGATTACTAGAAGGTTATCACTGCCTGGTTGAAAGAAATCTGGGTCAGTACATGTTATTTGCAAATGATACCATACATGTTGATTTGAAGATAAAAGAGTAGAAGCAAGAATTTCTTTTCTTCTTCTTCTTTTTGAGATAGGGTCTCATTCTGTTGCCCAGGCTGGAGTCCAGTGGCGCAATCTCAGCTAACTACAACCTCTGCCTCCTGGGTGCAAGCCAGCCTCCCACCTCAGCCTCCTGAGTAGCTGGGACCACAGGCGTACGCCACCATACCCAGCTAATTATTTTTGTATTTTTAGCAGAGATGGGGTCTCACCATGTTGCCCAGGCTGGTCTCGAACTCCTGAGCTCAAGCGATCTGCCTGCCTCAGCTTCCCAAAGTGCTGGGATTACAGGCGTGAGCTACCACGCCTGGCTATTGTATATTTCCAATGTGGCACCCTCCCAGTGTTATGAAGGTTATGGTCTTCATAACCCAAACTCCTGCAACAGCTCACCAGAGTTAGATTTTTTCCTAGTATGAAACCCTAGTTAAAATGTCATCAGAGACCAAGTGTTCAATAAAAGCACCAGAATGAAAGTAAGAGAAAAGTGGTTAAATTCCCTTTCCTAGCTGGGCATGGTGGTGTGCACCTGTAACTCCAGCTACTCAGGAGGTTGAGGTAAGGGTGGAGGACAGCTGGAGCCCAAGAGTTCAAGACCAGCTGGGCTTACATAATGAGACTTCACCTCTTTAAGAAAAAAAAGCGGGGGAGGGCAGGGCGGGAGGAGAGCCTTAAGGAAAAGAGCTAATGCATGCTGGACTTAATACTTAGGTGATGGGTTGATAGCTTCAGCAGACCACCATGGCACATGTTTACCTATGTAACAAACCTGCACATTCTGTGTACATGTACCCCAGAACTTAAAAAAAAATAACTTTTTAAAAAATCCCTTTCCTATCATAACAGAAATAAAATTTCTGGATATGAGCTTGCATGTCGCCATTTCTGACAAGCCATGGACTATCCTAGGAAATGAAATGTTTTCCTAGAAATTAATTGGTTATTTAACTTCTATCCATGGGCTTCTTCAAAGAAAAGTCTGCATGTGATCATTCTTTTGGAAGAGATGTGCTTTCAAGTGAAAAACAAGTACATTATAAGTTTGAGAAAAGGCTTAGTGGCACACTGAAGAAACACATTTTATTCCCCCAAATTATATTCAAATTAATTGGATTCACTACTTTGGAGAATCTGGCATCACAGGAGATGCAGAGTTGGCACATATATGAGAAGGCTTTATGGCAAGATAACTCACAAATAAAAGTAGTGAGAATCATAACCAAATAATTATCAGTAAAATCCAATTAGCAGGAACATCTTGAAAACACAGACTTAGGCCGGGTGCGGTGGCTCACACTTGTAATCCCAGCACTTTGGGAGGTCGAGGTGGGCAGATCACCTGAGGTCAGAAGTTCGAGACCAGCCTGGGCAACATGGAGAAACCCTGTCTCTATTAAAAATTAAAAAAATTAGCCGGACATGGTGGCAGGTGCCTGTAATTCCAGCTACTAGGGAGGCTGAGGCAAGAGAATCACTTGAATCTGGGAGGCAGAGGTTGCACTGAGCTGAGATCGTGCCATTGAGCCGAGATCGTGCCATTGCATTCCAGCCTGGGCAACAAGAGCAAAACTCCGTCTCAGAAGAAAAAAAAAAAAACAACAACACAGAATTAGTCTTCCTAGCATCAAATGGCATAGGAAGTACCTAACAACCACCCCTTAGGAGACTAACTGCACTGATACATTTGGGAGTCTCACCGAATTCCTGAAGGCCAATGCTTTCACAAAGAGCAAAGTATAGGGTTATTAACCATGTATAGTTCCACTCCCAGCTCTTTTTTTTTTTTCTTCCTTTGGAGACAGGTCTTGGTCTGTCATTTGGGCTTGACTGCAGTGGTGCCATCTTGGCTCCCTGTAACCCCAGCCTCCTGGGATCAAGCCATCCTCCACCTCAGCCTCCCAAGTAGCTGGGACTACAGGGACATGCCATCATACCCAGCTAATTTTTATATTTTTTGTAGAGAAGGAGTTTCATCATGTTGCCCAGGCTGGTCTTGAACTTCGGGCCTCAGGCGATCCTCCCACCTCCAACTGCCTAAGTGCTGGGGTTACAGGTATGAGCCATCACACCCAGCCCTAAATTTCAATAAAAACCTTTAGATAGCTGGTGCATGAGATGAAATTAATTACTGTAATTTCCTAAGTGTGCACAGTGCTGTCCTTCTTCACTGGATTCACTAACCTTTGTCAGGCTTTTTCTTCTGCTGTGTCGGCCACATGACTCAAAAGCAAGTAGTAAATTTAGAATCAGACCTTCAAACCCCTTTACAACAAAGGGTTAAACTAAAGTTTTAAAAAATAATGAAGCTGGACGGGCATCTGTAATCCCCACATTTTGGAAGGCCGTGGCAGACCATGTAAGGTCAGGAGTTCGAGACCAATCTGGCCAACATCTCCACTAACAATACAAAAATTAGCCGGGTGTAGTGGCACATGCCGGTAATCCCAACTACTAGGGAGGGTGAGGCAGGAGAATCGCTTGAACCTAGGAGGCAGAGGTTGCAGTGAGCTAAGATCACGCCACTGCACTGTACTCCAACCTGGGTGACAGAGCAACACTGAAGCTGTAGCTACCAGGAGTCTGTGGGGAGGGAAGGAGGAATGAATAGGTGGAGCAGAGGGATTTTTAGGGCAGTGGAGCTGTTCTGTTTGATACTCTAATGGTAAATGTATGCCATTATACATTTGTCAAAAGCTATAGAATGCACAATACCAAGAGTGACCCCTAAGGTAAATTACTGATTTTGGTTAATAATAATATATCTGGCTGGGCCCAGTGGCTTACGCCTGTAATCTCAGCACTTTGGGAAGCCGAGGTGGGAGGCCTGCTTGAGCTCAGGAATTCAAGACCAGCCTGTGCAACATGGTGAAACTCTGTCTCTACAAAAAATACAAAAATTAGCTGGGCACAGTGGCTCACACCTATAATCCCAGCACTCTGGGAGGCCAAGGCAGGTGAATCACTTGAGGTCAGGAGCACGGTGAGACCCCGTCTCTGCTAAAAATACAAAAATTAGCCGGGCGTGGTGGTGTGCACCTGTAGTCCCAGCTACACAGGAGGCTGAGGCACAAGAATCACTTGAGCCCAGGAGGTGGAGGTTGTAGTGAGCCAAGATTATGCCACTGCACCAAAAACAAAAACAAACAAAAAAAAAACCCAGAGACCTGATCTACACAATCAACTAATGTTCCATTTACCATCTTTATTTACTTGTAAGTAAACATTTTGGAGAGTAAGGTTCTTGACTTTAAGTGTTTTTAATATCATCTTAATATTTTAAAATATTTTTTAAATTGGTGGGGGGACCTAACTTGTAATGACATTTATACTTTTTAGGTCGGGTCCAATGGCTCACGCCTGAAATCCTAGCACTTTGGGAGGCTGAGGTGGGCAGATCACTTGAGCCCAGGAGTTAAGAGACTAGCCAGAGCAACATGGCAAAAACCCTTCTCTACCAAAAAAAAAAAAAAAATTAGCCAGGCATGGTGGCATACGCCTGTAGTCCCATCTTACTAGGGAGGCTGAGGTGAGTGGATCACTTGAGCCTGGGAGGTCAGGGCTACATACAGTGAGCCAAGATTGCATCTCTGCACTCCGGCCTGGGTGACAGAGTGAGACCCTGGCTCAAAAACAAACAACAACAACAACAACAAAAACCACTTTTTTTGGACAACTTCTCTGTTACGAACAGTAGGGTGCTACTTACTTTAATCAACAATTTCAGAGAATTATGCATAAGTCTCTAGTTACTACTTTCACAGAATTCAGAGGTGTCATACTTTTCTAGTAATTTTTATGAAGATAATTTTGTTGAAAAGGTAATTTCCACATTTGACATACCTGATCGAAAT